CGTCGTTGCAAATGGCAAGATCTCATTCCTTTTGATGGCTGCATAATATTCCATTGTATATATATACCACATCTTCTTTATCCAGTCGTCTGTCGATGGACATCTTGGCTCTTTCCACAGTTTGGCTATTGTGGACATCGCTGCTATAAACATCGGGGTGCACGTACCCCTTCGGATCCCTACTTTTGGTGATACCATTTTTTTATTGCTTTTTTGTAAACTTCATACAGTATCAAATTCACCATTTAAAGGGTACAACTGAGTGGTTTTTTTTTAGTATATTTACAATGTCATACCAACATCACTGTCATTTTATTTCTATCACCACAGAAAGAAGCCCCAAGCCCATTAGCAGTCCCTCCCAATTCCTGTCTCTCCCCATCCCCTGGCAGACACTAATCTGCTTTCTGTTTCCGTGGATCTGTCTGTGCGGAGCCTCTCCTCTAAATGAATCATGTAGCATGTGGCCTTTTGGGACTGGCAGAAGGTTTTCTGAGTTGATCCATATTGTGGCACATATCAACACTTCCCTCCCATTTACTGTGAAAGATGCTGCACCGCATCGTATTTATCCATTCATCAGTTAATGGCCGTTTGGCTTGTCTCCTCTTCTTGGTGTTAGGACAGCACTGCTGTGAACAAGGGTGCACATTTCTGTGTGGACGTGTGTTTTCATTTGTCTGGGATGTATATACCTAGCAGTGGAATTGCTGGGTCATGTGGTAACTCTGTGTTTCGCTTTTTGAGAAACTGCTGGACTACCTTTTTCCTAGTAATACTCTTACTTCCCTTTGCGGATCACCTAGGGTGTGTGTGTGGGGTGGGGTGTGTGTGTGTGTGTGTGTGTGTGTGTGTGTGTGTGTGTGAGATTTAATTTTCATGAAATTCTCAGAGGTTGTCCTTGTCATTAAACAGATACTAAATGGAGAATTTTAGGTTAAGTGATTTCTTGAAGATCAAAGGACTAAGAAGTGATGAAGCTGGGATTTGAGCCCAGATATTTAGAACCTGAGTTTAGGGTTTAGCACTTGGCGAGGTGAGGTGAGTCATCCCTGTGTTTTTCGGATTCATTTCCCATGCTGTATATTGGTTTTGACATCTGCTGAATATTATTTTTAAAAACTGAGCTTAATCATTTTCTTGCTTCTGAAATAGTAGCATGGGCTCTTATAAAAGGGCAAACATCATAGTCTATAATATGAAAAGGGAAAGCCCTGGTCATCCAGCCCCATAGAGAGCTTGCTCCTTGTCATAGCTTGATGCATATTGCACCAAAATATTTTTTGGTATGTAACAGTATACTTTCATAATTATTACTCTTTGTTTTTTTAACCTACCTGCTGTACATTCTGTTTCGCTACTTGCTTATTTTCTTGCTCACGGTGCACCTGAGACAACTTTTGCTCTGGGAACAAATAGATCTGCCTTCTTTTTTTCTAAGGTTCCTGTGCATCTTTGAAAACTGTGGCCAGCTGGTAGCGCCCTGGGGTGTCTGTGGGGGCTCACTGAAGCTGGGGCTTCTCAAACGTTAGTTGTGTACCTGGGAATATGAGTCACCTGGGAGTTGTATTGAAGTGCAGATTCTGATCCCATAGGCCCAGGGAGGGGCCCCAGAGTCTGCACGTCTTGTCAGCTTCCCAGGTCACGCTGATGCTGCTCGCTGTGACGGCATGAGGCTCTTGGGGGCCGTGAAGGAGCCTTCTGGCACCAGCGTAATTTCTCCCTGCTGAGTGTGCGTTTTGCTTTTCAGAATGAAATGCTGGAGGAAGGGCATGAGTATGCAGTCATGCTCTACACCTGGCGCAGCTGCTCCCGGGCCATCCCGCAGGTGAGACTGTCCTTGCTGGGTGGCTCTGCTCCACTTCGGCCTCAGCCAGAGAGCTGAGCTTTTCCGGGTGCAGGGGGTGAGGCGGGGCCTGGTAGTCAAGGGTGCTTGCTCGAGACATTTGGAGAGCTTCCCATTACACTGGTGACAAGGTAAAAAACATGTGTTCGATTTATTTCAAAAGCAACATGTACTACCTGTACAACACCCAAACCGTTGCCCAAAGGTATAAAGTAAAAAGCAAGACACCCCCACCTCCTCACCCCCACCACCCAAACGCACCTCCCACCAGAGCCTAATCACTCTGGATACTTTGCTGCATATTCCTCTGGATCTTTTTCCTTGAACAGCATGAATATTCCTACGAATATTATTTGTAAATTATCATTTATTTGTATTTATAAATGTATATTGTTTATATTTATATGTATATTGTTCTGCCACTTGCTTTTTTCCACTTAATTCCTTTTTAGTAACTTTTTTGTGTTGACTCATGCAGATATTATATTTACCGTAATTATCAGCATCATGTTTATATCCCATTATAACAAAATTAACAAACCACAGGTGTGCAAAGTAAACAGAAACTATTCCTCTCTCTTCCCCCTAACCTTAGCCCCCAGAGGTAACTACTTATTAACAGTTTGCTTTGAACTCTTTCAGATTTTCTCTGCCTCTATTATATATAGACACACACACACACAAACTGTTTTGTGTTTTGTTTAACAAAAATGGGATTCAATTACGCTTCATGTCCTGCAGGTTTTTTCACCTGTCAGTTTATGGTAGCAATCTCTCCATGTCACTTCACAGAGATCTGTCTCATTCCTTCTAGCGCCTTTATGATGATATCGTATGAATACATCATATTTTATCCATTTAATCATCGACTGGTGGGTATTTACCTTATTGCTACCATTTTAAGAATTTCTAAGCAACAGTGCAAAGAATGTCCTCATGCTTATCCTTCACTCACTGTTCAGTGTCACTTGACCAGTTAGCAGTCTGGGGTGTGCAGGCTATGAAAACATCTGCCATGTGATTCTGATGTGTTAAAAACTACTGGGCAGAGAAAATGGATTTTTTGATGGGGCCAAGTATGGCCGGAGGATCTCATGCCATGTGCATGCAGAACAATGGCTGGGACATTTTTCTCTGCTTAGATGCTGGTGGGGTCCCCCTGGGGTAGGAGTAGGGGAAAGGCTGAAGGAGGGAGACCTTGCAGATCAAGGTAGATGTGTATAGAGCTCATGGTCAGGGCACTGCAAAAGGGCTCTATTAATGGGCACCTGGGTGGCTCAGTCGTTAAGCGTCTGCCTTCGGCTCGGGTCATGATCCCAGGGTCCTGGGATCGAGCCCCACATCGGGCTCCCTGCTCCG